AGATCCTGAAGAAACAGAGCCCTGTGACTGAAGAGGAGAAGCTCCTTTTAGAGGTGATAAGCTCTGACTCCACCACCATAGCTGCGACCCTGAAGAAGCTGCTGCACTGCGGTAAGAAACAGCTCAACATGAAAAGTTCACCTCAAGTTTCTGTCATAAAAAGATAATAACTTTATATTTTATTTAATTTTTGGGTCGATTTTCTTTAGCTTTGAGTCGTGGCTTTTACCATTTCTGCTGTTTCTTTTTATTTATGTGATTTTCTCCTTTTAAACTGTATATTTTTACTGTTAGGACACAAGCAGGATTCGATCTTCTCTGTGTGGAATTATGAATATCCACTGTTATCAGTATCAAGCGTGTCGCTGTTTTCTTTCTTTAGATGCTGCTTCCTGTCGTCAGTCGTCGATATCTCGGTCGCCTCAACTCTTTAAGTCGGCTTTAAGCCAAACAAATCCAGATGTTCATCCAGAGGAGGCTCCTCGCGACGTGTCCGAAGACGGCTTCAGTTTTTCGGACAGGAGCTCAGACGTTAGAGGACATCAGCAACCAGAGGAGGAAGATGAGGTAAACAAGAGAGCGGAGGAAGAGGGCAGCACAAGTGTTCAGGAGGCGGCCCCCACCCCTCAGTTCTGCTCCAAACACCAGCGATGGGTGAAGAGCATCCTGCGGGGCTGCTCGGAGGAGCTTCTCCTTCAGCCCAACGTTTCCTCATCTCCTCTGCTCTTCCCGTCGTCGTCTTCTACTTCTTCATCGCAGGACCTCACACCATCTGACCTCCTCCCCTGTCCGTCCGATCAGCCACCTTCGCAGACCCGCAGCCCTCCTCGGGCAGCAGTCCGAGCATCCAGAACAGCAAAACCCAAATACAGGCGCAGCTCCGGGTCACTCGGATCCTCAGGCGACGCCTCACAAGCACAAATCCTGCCTCAGGCCTCGTCTGCTCGGAGCTCTCCGCTGCCTGCTCTGCTGTCACCGGTGGTCCGACTGGTGAACATCGGCTCCTTCGAGACGAGCTGTAAACACCAGCACGCATCACCAAAGCAGCTTCTCCTGGCAGCTTCTTCCAGTTCGGAGATGCTAAGTTCTCCACATCACACCTCAGGAAACGTAAAAGACAACAACAGTTCACCTCCCTCTGCCTGGTGTCGCTCTCTTCGCCATCGACAAAAGAACAGCAGACCTCGATCAGGAGCCGCCCGACGCTCCTCCTCTGCCGCAGGCAGGGACAAAACCAGCCGAGGCCTCAGAGCTCAGCTGAGGCTATCGCTGCCCAGTCAGGGTGTGCTGCTGCACTCCAAGCTGCTACAACCCTACGTGAGTCTTACCAGGCTGAGCTCTGAGCAGTGTCACCTATCGACCCAAAGGAAAGCCTCAGCCGGGCAGGAAGAGCGCGTGGAGCAAGGCAGCGACAGCGAGGAAAGGAGGAAGCAAGAGGAGGAAGACTCTTCCTTCGATGTGAACGCTCTTTACTCCACTGATTCCTCAAGCAGTGA